TCTATTGGATGTAAAATGCTCTGCAGTACATTTTGTGATTTTAGAATGTTAAGTATGGTAACACTTTAGAATAGGGAACACTTAACTACGAATTTCTCCTCAATAAATTCCTAATTTGCTGCTTATTAATAATTAGTAAGGTAGTTGTTAAGTTTAGGTATTGGGTAGGATTAGGGATATAGAATTAGGTCATGTAGAATAAAGCATTAATATGTGCTTAATTACTGCTAATAAATGGCTAATATTCTAGTAATATGCATGCTAATAAGCAACTAGTTAAAAGACCCTAAAATAAAGTGTTACCTTAAGTTCTACTTCTGTAGTTATTTTGGTAGTTTGTATTTTGGTGAAAGTAACTCAAAAGTAATACAGGAGTCATGTAACACATTACAATTCTGAGACAGTAATATTGTAAGGTAAGGAATTACTTTTAAATAACAGTAACAAGTAATCTATAATGTATTACAGTTTGGAAGTAACTTGCACAACACTGGTCAGGACTCAAACTCAGGTCGCCAGAGGTGCAGTCGCACTGTCAGTGCTCTAACCGCTAGGCTATCAGCACCGACTTGGACTGGTTTTAATGGTAACTGTAATGGTGCCTGTTGGTCTCTACTGGCAATTGGTCACCTTCTATTGGTGGCTTGTTAAAACCACTAAATCCTAATGGAAAATGGCTCAAAACACACCACAGGAAACCATTTTTGTAATGGTTTTAATGGTTAAAAGCTGATGGTTTGTTGTTTGTAATGGTAATTGTAGTGGAAACCATTAGCATTTCTGTGATGGTTTGTATAGTTTTTTCAGCAGGGAGGATAGTTTGTGATTTGGTCTTAGTGACTTAGGAGTCCTCTTCACTACTCCAAACGTTTCACAGCTTTAGGAGCTAGTTTCATCGCTAAAACGCTTTGTGAAATACTCTTATAACAAAAATTTAGGAGTCCTAAATTTAGGATTGACATGCCCATTATTTTTAAGATTTTCTCCTAAATCGACAAGTTATGAGCTACTTTTAGCCTTAAGATGTTTTGTGAGTACAGGCCCAGATCTGTTAAAAATGATTGCTAATAATGTAATTAACATTGTGAGCTGAAGACTGACCGAGTGCAAGCAGTTTCTTACTCTGTATATCCATGATGTTGGAGTCAGCACCGTTCTCCAGCACATCTCCCTCTGGGCTGGACGAATCCTCCATACCATTCTTCTGTTTCTTCTGCTCAAGCTGACCTTTCAATCTCTTAACCTGAATAGAAAAATCAGAAAATCATGCTTGTAATGGCACAAAATGAGGGTAAAGTCAATGTAAAGTACTGTAACTGCCAGCAGCGCACCTGCTCTATTAAGTTTTCCCTCTCATCAACCAGTTTTCGCAAGCGAATTTCTGAAAAGCAAGTTCAACAGATAGACCATTATACAACCAACATTTTTTTTCTTGCAGGTTTTTTTTTAATTTTTTTGGAAAAACTGAAACTGTATATCCACTTCAATAAAATAACCACTTTTGGGACATTCATACATTTTAAAAACTACAGTTAAACATCTGAAACATGTATTTTGCAGAAATAAAATATTACATTCTCATGTTAAAACAAATTCCAAGGTTAGACAGGAAAGATTTCACATACCAGGGGTGGGAGGGGCCAAAGGCATGGAGGGGGAGGAGTCAGGGCATGCAAAAAGTGAAGCTATCCTATGCTGGGATGTGAAGGATGAGGATGGACAACATGCAGAAACTTCAGTGATCTCAGAGGCTTCAGCCTCATGTAGTCAAAATCTCTTAGCGTTCGCTCAATCTGTACATCTATTACATGACAGTGTTTTTCATGTGAGCTTACTTGAGGTTTGTGATGCAATGAATGTGTGACATACTATAATTCATGTCCTAAAAAATAAAACTTCCATGACTTAAAAGTAAGTCAATCTTATCTGAAGCAGTTTAATTAAATGTCAATTAAAACTTACACAATCAATAAACAATAGTGTAAAACATTTTTAATTGCTTAAGTTTTATTTTTAAAATACATGGTTCACTTAAACACTGTCTCAATGTTCCAACAACATCTTCACCAAACAGAATAAAATATAAAAAAAAATTCCCAATCGTATCTCCCAACAAATAAATTGTAAAAACAAAACGTAACTTCAAAGCTCCAGTCAAATTTTTAGAGGAATGTTTAATAAGGTTGGCACACAATAACATTTTTTATTTACCACAATTTTAAACAACATAACACCCATTTAAAAAAATTTTACAGGTCCTTTGTTACCGAAAACATTGTAATTAAGAAGCTGCTAAACATGACTGCAGCACAGACAGAAAGCTGATCATTTGTATTACTCGTATAGTATGAGAAACATTTTATTCATGCTCATGTAAAATTTCATTATAAATATGACACTTTATACCCATTACTGATAGCATTTAATGTGTAATTGGTTTAGGGATTTTAAATACTGTTTCTGTATTGTTAATCAGGTGATAAACATGTATAAATTATGTTTGCTGAAAAAGATGCAATGACTGATAATTGGGTTTGACTGTAAGATAACTGTTTATTTTACGGTTCTCTGAAGTAATGGTCCCAAAATAATTTCATTAGGACCTACATAAGTGCAAATTACTTTTTCAATTGAAGATGCTGAGAAGAGACTCGGCAATGTCCTTGTCTATTAAGACATTTTACATTCTTCTTTCCCCTTGCCCTTCCCTTTCCCTTTTCCACTTTTTTTAGATTCTTTTCTTTCATCTTCCTTGTTTCTTTCTGTGGTTTCCTTCTCAACTTCCTGATCTCCTGAAATACTTGACACCTTGTTGTCATGTTGAATGGAACTATTGATCTCTTGGCCTACATTTCTTTTCTCCATCTCTGAGATCAGATTAACTCCTTCACTGAGCGTCACGTTTTCTGATGCCTGCTGATGCTCCTCAAATGCATCTTCTTTATTTCCAGAAGTATCATGCTGCTGATCATTAGGTTTGACTTCACTGCTGATTTGGCTTTCCTCTGTTAAACATCCTTTTATAACTGTTGTTGTTTGTGGGTTTTCTGTGTCTTGTCCATCATCTTTCTGCTCCTTTGGCTTTGATTCCTGATCTGCAAGTTCTAGATGTTCTTTTTGAATTTGGTCCTCATCAGTGACATTGCTTTGGTTTTCCTGGCTTGCTTCTTGGACATCATCTTTGAAAAGAGTCTCTTCCTCTTTTGGCTGATCTAGAAAGTTTTTTAGAGGTGCATCTGATGATGCTTCAAGATCCATTTCATCAAAATCAAATGATTCTCCTTCATCTTCCTCTTCCTCGTCTTCTTCCTTGAGCTCTTGAGCAGCCACATCTGACTTTACCAGAAGGTCTTCTCCATCTTCAGGCAGTTGCACTTCAAGCTGATTTTGGATTGATCTGTCCTCCTCATCTTTTTCTACCTTGGGTTCTTGTTCAGAAGAATCTGACTCTCCAACTGATTCCTTAATTGCTTCATTGGGAGACAGGTGATCTTCATGCACAACCTGAACCTGTGTTTCAATTAAAGGAGTGTTGTCAACATGGCTTCCATCGGACACTTTTTCAGTAGGCGCTTTAAGGTTTTCTTTATCCAGATCATCTTGTCTCTCAACCTCTTCCTGGTCCAATTCTGCTTTAATACTGTCTTGAGTATCAGACACTTTTTCAATAGGCGCTTTAAGGTTTTCTTTATCCAGTTCATCTTGTCTCTCAACCTCTTCCTGGTCCAATTCTGCTTCAATACTGTCTTGAGTATCAGACACTTTTTCAGTAGGCGCTTTAAGGTATTCTTTATCCAGATCATCTTGTCTCTCAACCTCTCCTCTTCCTCGTCTTCTTCCTTGAGCTCTTGAGCAGCCACATCTGACTTTACCAGAAGGTCTTCTCCATCTTCAGGCAGTTGCACTTCAAGCTGATTTTGGATTGATCTGTCCTCCTCATCTTTTTCTACCTTGGGTTCTTGTTCAGAAGAATCTGACTCTCCAACTGATTCCTTAATTGCTTCATTGGGAGACAGGTGATCTTCATGCACAACCTGAACCTGTGTTTCAATTAAAGGAGCGTTGTCAACATGGCTTCCATCGGACACTTTTTCAGTAGGCGCTTTAAGGTTTTCTTTATCCAGTTCATCTTGTCTCTCAACCTCTTCCTGGTCCAATTCTGCTCCAATACTTTCTTGAGTATCAGACACTTTTTCAGTAGGCGCTTTAAGGTATTCTTTATCCAGATCATCTTGTCTCTCAACCTCTTCCTGGTCCAATTCTGCTTCAATACTGTCTTGAGTATCAGACACTTTTTCAGTAGGCGCTTTAAGGTTTTCTTTATCCAGATCATCTTGTCTCTCAACCTCTCCTTGGTCCAATTCTGCTCCAATACTGTCTTGAGTATCAAACACTTTTTCAGTAGGCGCTTTAAGGTTTCCTTTATCCAATTCATCTCGTCTCTCAAACTCTTCCTGGTACAATTCTGCTCCAACACTGTCTCGAGTATAAGACACTTTTTCAGTAGGCATGTTAAGGTTTTCTTTATCCAGATTATCTTGTCTCTCACCCTCTTCCTGGTTTAATTCTGCTCCAATACTGTCTTGAGTATCAGACACTTTTTCAGTAGGCATGTTAAGGTTTTCTTTATCCAGACCATCTTGTCTCTCACCCTCTTCCTGGTTTAATTCTGATCCAATACTGTCTTGAGTATCAAACACTTTTTCAGTAGGCGCTTTAAGGTTTTCTTTATCCAATTTATCTCGTCTCTCAACCTCTTCCAGGTCCAATTCTGCTCCAATACCGTCTTGAAGTTGGTTTTCCATTGGCTTATCAATAAGTTGTTCCTGGATTACCCTTTCAGCTTCATTTCCCACCTTCTCCATTACAGAGGAAGAGGGATGAGCAGAGTCATCTTGATCTTCAGGGTTAGTGGTCCCATCTAGATCAATGTTCTGGACATTTTCTTCCTGTTCTTCCACTTCACAGTTCAGATGGCTCTTCACTTCCTTCATGTCTACCGATAAAGATTTCTCAATGTTCTCAGAGCAGCTGGTGGACCCGACACCCCCTTCAACAGCATCCATGGACTGAGCAGAAGGTTCATGAGGCAGTGAAGTCTCCGTTTCTGAAGATACAAGCTCACAGCTAAAGACTACAGCTTCAGAGTCAGGATTTGTTGAATCCTCAGTGTGTTCATCAATAATGTTTGAGGGGTTAGAGATAACATTGCTGGACAGATCATCTGAAAGGATGCCATTGCTAGATTCAGGGCAATCAAAATGTGAGATTGTTTTAGAAATTCCTGCTAAATCAGCTTCATCTGTAACTAACAGAATTGTATCTTGAACATCATCAGCATTTATATTTGTGCTTGTTGTTTTGATATCATCCAATTCACTGGTTCTTTTAGCATCATGTGGGACATCTGTATTCATCGTTGTTTCGGATATATCATTCCCTAAGGGCTCCTGATGGTTTCCTTCTAGATCACCTTCCGTTTTTTGGTTTGGATTGTCTTCACTACAAACTGTTTCAGTCTTGTCATCTATCTTCGTATCATTCTCTTGTTTGTCACTCGGTTTCTGCTTCTGCTTGTTCTTCTTCTTCTTTTTCTTCTTTTTATTTGAAGCACTGGCACCTTGGGTTTTGGCAAGCTTCTCTGTTTGAGATGATTCTACAGGCTCGAGTTTATCATCAAGCACTGCTTCACCAGGTTGATCAGGTTCATCATGGATCACCACAGTTTCTTCTTTGATCACCTGACTAGGTTTGACACATTCACTCTCTTGTTGATCGGTCTCCAAATGTCCATCCTTGTGATCAATGCACTCTACTTCCACTGTATTGCCTCTTGAATCTTCTGGTATATGCACCTCAGATTTGATCTCCTCCTTGGGTCTTGTTGCAGTGAGTTCATCATCACCAACAGAACTTGGAAGTTCTTCAGGTCTATTCTCAAGCTGCTCTACACCCCGATTCATTTGGTCCCCAAGGTCTCCATTCTCATTTGCTTCTAAAGGTGCATTTGTAGAACTGAACGGGGCATGTGAAAACTGCTGATTCCCTGGCACCCCATCATCCAAATCTTTTTGTTGCTGGTCTTTACACACCTTCAACTGATGAGTGCCTGGGAGATGATTGAGGTGTCAGTAGTTAAAATCTGTAGAAGTCATTGAATATTTGGCAAATGTTTAGAGCAAGAAGAAAAAGAAAGAGGGAAAGGAGCGAAAAAGGACTCCATGGCAAAGCACTTAAACCCATACAAATCAAAAGTCTTGAAGGATGTCCCGAAGAAGAAAACCCCAGAGTAAAGTCAAGAACTGAACAAACTACTCTGCAATTCCTTCTCTTGATTTTGATTTTAAAATCAAGGATGCTGACATTTTTCAGCACATTTATAAACACTAATTCAGCAGAGTATTGGAATATGGACTCAAGAAAGAGACATGACTCTGTAGTGTTAACTTTCATTCAAGCTGTATATGCAAAGTGGATACAGGGAAGCAGGAAAGGGTGAGAGATGTTAATGTGACGGTGCATTGAAGCAGGCAGTTTGGTTAGACTTGGCTTGAGCTGTACAAGCTGAAAATGCAAAGTGTCAAAGCTAAAACATGTTAGCATGCAATGAATGAAGCTAAGCTTACCTAGTACACTACTCCCCTCTCGGATTTCAGCTGATGCAGTTTGAGAATTCTGATCAGCCTTTCCGGCTTCGTCCTCTGTTTCTCCACCTCCACTGGTGGCTGAGTCGGGTCCAAGGACAATGCCATGTTTCTGGACAGCAAAACAGTTTAATATTAGTATACTTATTATAAAAACAAATTCAGGTTAAATTTAGATGCACTGGACTGGAAAAATAAGATTTCTTATTTTTAAACATGTATTTGTAGATAATATGATTATGATTCTGTTCATTCAGTCAGAGATTGAGTGTTAATGAATCAGTCTCGATTTACATTATAGTCTGGGTCTTAGCATCTGTACATTACTAAAAATGTATATAAAGCTTTTTCGTTAGGAAAATTTTATGAGAAAAGAGTGAGCCCTAGTTTCACCACACATATCAATACCTTCAAAATATCTTTGAGCTGAACAACCTCATCTCTAAGCTCATCCCGCTCATTTCGAATGGCATCAGAAAATTCCTTCTGCCTTTCTAATGCCTGAACAGCACCAGAAGGGATTTGGCAAAGATGCGGGGAAGAGGAGAAAAAGAAGGGGAAAGCAATGAAAACATCAGTGCTGCAGACAACATGAATAGTTTGGCAATGACAGACAGGTTGTAGCAGGAAACAGATGTGGAATATAGCTAATCTACAATTATATGTTTGAAAGATAAAATTATAATTCTCTTACAGTGAAGGTAATGACAAATACAGTTTTTTACAGGAGTTGGAAACTGAGGAATCATACCCCAATTTTTTTATTCTTCCACTCAATAGTTTCCTGGAGGTCAGAAATCTCCCTAACATAGCCGTCTTGCTTGAGCCGTAATTGACGGATCTCCTATAGAGAGGTATTGTGCATGGAAGACGACCAAAGATGAAGGAAGGAGAAAAGCTGTTAAAGCAGATGGGCAGATATGCCAAGCATTTGAAAAAGACAAAGGTTTTAGCATAGACATAAATACTACAATACTCACAGTGAGCAGTTCTTCACTCTGTTTCAACGTCTCCTTCAGTTCACTGAACTGAAACTGCAGTATGCTATGAGCATGCTTCTCTCGTTCAAGGTCCTAAAATATAAAACTGCCTTCAATGGGTTTTTTTACCCTTTAAATGGAATATTTATACACCATTCTATTTCAATCATAACATGACAAAAAGATTACAAATAATAAAAAATAAAATGAATGAATAAAGTTTCCAATTAAAAGCTCTTACTATTGTAACAATCTATTATTTGTGGCTCGACAACATATTACAACAAAGCATTACTGCAACTTCTTATAATGCACACCTGACTGTACAGACCTTACACTTTTCCTCAAGCTCACGGCGTGTTTCAAAGAGCATCTCCTCCAGTTCCATTAAAGAGTCTTTCAAAGTGTCCACTTCATACATCATATTGGTCTTCTCATTGTCCAGCTGTGCATTGGAGACCATGGCCTTACGGTACTTTTCCTCCACTTCCAAAAGGGAATCCTTTAAGAAGTCAGACAACACAATGAAAACCAGCAAACACTCACAAACACATATCTGTGCATGCATTACAATACCTCAACCTCTACATCAGTCTTGAACACAATTTTAAATTAAATTTTTCCTTAAAATTAAAATCGAATCAAACTAAATCATGAATAGGGATGTGTAACAATATGTTTTGGAGAATAAGATAAAGTCAAAGATGGAAGCAAGGCAGAGAAAATGAGGCTATAGACTTCAGTGGCATAGACATATAAACATGCAAGATCCCAATATCACATCATCTCATCATGTTTCTGATCAGCCACTCGCTGGTTAAAAAGCACAAAATTTGTTGTTCCTTTGCCAGCACTATCATAGATAAATCAAACAAAGCAGGTTCTCGCTGGGCTTTTGACTGGCACTGCCTTTACCAGCCATGTACCTTGAGCTCTTTGAGGTTCTGCATGTGCTTTGCCTCCACATCTTGAATCTGATCCTTAAGCTCATGGATCTCCTGAATGAAAAGCATGAAGAGTGAGGATGAAGAGGAAGGATAAAGGATGCAGTGGAGGAAGAGCAACGGAAGGGTAAAGAACACCAGACTTTCAAATGAATTACTGTGCAAAAAAACAAGTACAAAGCTGTAGAAAATAACAGTGAAGCAGATCGTAGAAGGTGGTCAGTCCTGCTCCTGAAGAGTTCAACACACAAAACATCTTAGTTATATTGTTCAGGTGTGTTTGATTGGAGCTGAGACTTTGTTGGAAGGCAGATCACTAGGAATATGACTGAGCAACATGAAGAAAGTGGAAATTGTGTTCTGTGAGCAAGATGAGTGATGAAAATGAGCAATGAGTTCTTATCAGACTAAATTATATTATAAATAAATGTATTTATAAAATATGCTATGCTACAGTGCTATTAACTTGGATTCATTTGCCCAATATGTAAACAGCAAAAGCATACCACGAAATCATGGGTTGATATCATGTGGTTCTATAAACCTGCTGCTTAAATTTAAACTGGCACAAGACAAAGAGATCAGGACACACACCTTGATTTCCCTTATGGATGCTTCTGTGTCAGCAGAGATGGATGTATCTCCACTTCCTCTCCGTGAGGACGTCCCACCCAGAGAGGTAAGAGTGGCGCCAGAAATAGTTGATGCTCGTGAGGATCCCTAAAAATACAGCAAGTCATAGGTCACATCCCTTGGTTATAGAGTTTATGATGAGAATATAGGCTTAAATGGTTAAAAAGATAAACAAATTGGCAAAAAAATCACAAACCTTTTCCAAGTAGTCTCGCTCTAACCTGTCATCAGCCTGTAAATAAAAAAAGATGATACACTTGATAGTCTTGCAAAAATAGAGTCAAGCCATCGAGTCTCTTATTCATTCATTCTGATTCATGCTGTTCCTTGAAGACATGCTGTTAACACAAAAAAGTTAGTAAAAAATATATTCCCATTACAGGAAGAAAATCAGTTCAAGTCAAGCTGAAAATATTCAAACCACAATGATAGTATTTGATCAATAATCAATATGCAACCATCAAGCAATTCTGTAATTAACAGAGTGCTGCGAATACGTCTTTTAAAAATAACCTTGAATTATAATATTAACAATTGGACATTTCTATCAAGCATCATGACAAGCATCAGACTTCTGTGGTTTTCTGCACATAACCACTTTTCTGACCACTGACCATCTTGCATGCAGACCATCACCTCAATTCAACATGCCACTGTTTGTAACACACACACACACACACACACACACATTTAAACCAGGGCATCAACCACCACAAATCACATGAACCCGTAGATTTCACTCTCATACCATTGACAGCCTCCCGTTAACGTTTGGCAGGTCAGGAATGACCACACGGTCAAGGTCTCTAGAGAGGCCACTGATACTAGCTGAGCTGCGCATAAAACTAGCCACTGAGCTGCTGCAGTCCTCCTGGAAACCACCAGATGGCAGCAATTAACATCAATGCAAGAGGTATTTCAGCTATTTGTGAAGTCTCAACTGTCCCAAGTTTAACAGTTGGCTTTTTGCATGCACCCAAAGAAAGAATTCACACAAACACACATATCACCTCAGATGTCCTTTCTTACACTGTTAATGTAACTCAATCCTACTTAATAAGGTAAACATCAAGCAATTAAACAAACTCGGAGACTAAAAGCATATTCATCCACTGATTTAGCTAGAAACAACAATCAATTTCACACAATACAGGATTTATGAGACATTAAAAGCAAAAGCCCCAATGAACTGGACGCTTGCAACTGTAGCTAAATCGGTCACTGAGAAAGCAACTTATGAAATATAATTGTGATAGTCCATGATCATCTTGGGCATCAGTGACCGTGAAGTTGCTCACCACTGGACTTCCACACGCAGAATTTGCTCTGGATGAAGTCCTAGAGCTGGAGCCCAGGAAACCACTGTATTCAGAGGACTAGAGGAACACACACACACACTATGAGAATGTGAAGAATCAGAGAGACAGAGCAAGAGAGACAATATACACAAAATGGATTCGAGATTGTCAGACATTTCAGGCCTGATACAGTCACCGCACATCTGTAAGAGTCTCCACCAAAAAAATAAAAATCAATTACAAGCAACTACAACTACAAGCAGTACAAATTTACAAACCGAAAACAAGCTGGTAGAAAACTACCCACTTTGACAACATACATGCCTGTCAATGTCTTACACATCCTTTGTTAGAGAACAAGCTTGACATGAAATTTGTGACATACTGCATCTAAAATCATTTTAACCTGCATTTTGTTCATTTCTTAAGATTATACATGCAGTTATTAATTTGAGAGACAACATGCAATATTTGTACTTTTTAAATGGTTCTATGGTACGGCAAATCAATTAAACCAACTAGTGAAATATAAAAGTTTACATATATAGTTTATGATGATTGCTAAAATATATGTAAAAACACCTAAAATACACACTTTCCTTTAAACATTAATGTCTTGATGTTCTTGATGTTTATCAAAAGATAATGTCATGTGACAATGTTAGGATTGTCAGCTACCCAAATATAAAGCACTCTTAGCTTTATGGAATTAACAAAGCCTTTTTAAAAGCATTTCAAAGCATTTTTGACCTGCATTAGCTTCTAAATCACATTCAGTCCCATGTGTTTAATGTGTTAGAGCATTCTCAAAATATTACTTGTGTTTGTTTTGAGTGGCATTATAGCATTAATTATTATGAAGAGAGAATATTACAAATTAAAAAAAAAATTTAAAAAAAAATCACACTTGTTGGTTTGGGACCTGAATCCACAGGTTAATAGGGTACAATTTTCATGCACATTTACAGTTTAGCTCTATAATTCTTACAGCACGAGCACTGGAGCGTCGAGAGCCACTGTAGAGACTGTCCTCATATACAGAGCCCTGATGACGGACAGATATAAACACACAGCAGAGAAACAACATTTTTATCGCTTTCTCACGCCTTGAGGTCTTACCCATAACCACTCTGTGCAAGTGAGCATGCAAACTCTCTCCACAGTCTCAGTTCTCCTTTTTTATGCACAGTGTATCAATAGTCTTTCATCACATTCAGATGATCACGTGACTCATGTCATTTGATTTCTGTCAGGTTGGTGGGGAAAAGGTCTGTAACTAGTTATTAAAGGTGAAGTGTATAATTTTTCAATATTTTTATTCATTTTTATCCCAGTTTAATATGCTGAGATTGCTATTCATAGGATAAACCCCCTTTTAAAATGTCAAATGACTGATGAGCTAATAAAGTAGAAGTTAGAGCAAGATCACAAATTATTGGTTAAAACAGTAAAAAAAAAAAAAAAAAAAAAAAATTGATACTTTTAAATATTTTCCAGGAAAGAAGCATTGTAATCATTAAAATAACTATAATAGGTTTTTGGGAAGTCTGGTTGGGAAAACAATTAAACAAAAACATATAAAATTCTATCACACACTTCACCTTTAAGGACTACAAGTCAAAGCCAAAGCACAAGCAGTTAGCTCAGTCCTCAGGTGTTTGTGGTCTGTGTGGGTTTAAGATCTAATAACCCCAGATGACCTGCTGTGGATGAGAGTGAAAGGGCTGGGCGATATAGCTAAAGAATTTATCAACGATATAATGTTTCATATCGTTCGGTATCGATAATTATTGACATTTATTATAACCTTTTTTTAAAACAAAGAGCAATAGAAAAAAAAGTTTTACATTTAACCCCTGTATTTTTAAATTAACCCAATTTATTGAGACAAACAACAAATATTTTTGTTTTAACAATCAAACACAAAATTAAAATTAAATATCTAATTTCTAATATTTTATATGCAGATTAAATAGGTCTTAAGGAAACTTTTGTCTTGTCTCCTGAGGCCACAGGAGGGCACAATGAGCAAAATAATGCAGAGCATTTAAATTGTCAATGCAAGGAAGTAACTCTATAACAAAAACGTGCATTACGTCTAAATTAACTCATAAAAATCAAATATCATTTCGTAAATTGCATAAACAATTATGAACAAAACAGCATCATGTATTTATGCTTGCTTAATCCAAAGAACCGAAGCGCCATTCACACAGATTGTATTTAAAAACATAAGAGACGCAGTGAAAAGGAATAAACCTCCACAAATTTGTGACATGTTTTCTAAACGTTTAAACTGTTTTAACATTGCATGGCTTTCTATACATCTCTTGTGTGAGACGTGAGTGCAGCAGTCTGAAAAATGCGCTGAATATGCGTTCTGTGTGAATGGCTTGGTTTCGGTTTTAACCTAATCAAGATCTTCTCCGCATTGAGCTTCTATATTTCTCTAATATTTTGAAAGAATAACGCAGCAGCGGCACGTCTCGTGGGCTAGACTAACAAAACATTAAAATATAACAACATCACTTACATCATCACCGCATCTCGCGCGCCACTGATGACGCTCCCTGAAGCACACATAACATTCAAATGCAAATGTTTATTCATATATCATATATATGTGCCTATATCGTGCGCTATATCAAACATTTTTTCTATTGTTATCGAAAAAGGTGTACCGTCAATAAATATCGATACTGTTTTATCGCCCAGGCCTGTATTCAAAACGTGTGTACAGAGCTGCACATATTATTGTACAGGAAGTGCTGTGGGGCAGAGAGTAATATGAGGAGCAGCACAAACCCTGTGCTTCCTGCTGTGCAGCAAAGACAACTAAACAGACAGAAGAGATGAACATTTCAAATCAAATACAGAGTGAAAGTGGAGAATAACTACAAAAAAGGTGGACAAGACAGGGAAAAATGATACAAGAAAACAGAAAGAGGGGATTTAAACAGTGGATAGATACTCAGCAGCATGGAAGGAGCGGATGAAGATGACAGACCTGGTAGCCATTGTAGGAAGGGGCTTGAAGTTTAGAGGAATAACTACTGCTGCTGTACAGTTCAGATGAATAGAAGGCTTTCTAAAATGATGGGAAATAATGTAGATGATTGAATGATGAACTGATGAAGACAGAAGCGTGAGAGATGTACAGAGTGATGGAGGGAGAAAAATGTTTTACCATGCTAAAATGTGCAATGCAGTGGCATCATGCCAGCTGAGGTCAGGAATGGTACTAAATGGGCTTTTCACTTTTGAAAATGTTCACCCAGGATCATTTTTTGTAACATTTTTGCAATAATTATCTTATTTCATGCTGCACACGGTTTATACATCACCCAGGGTTGAGACTGCACAGTTCACATATTTGGCAGTGTAATTTGGAGATAAAAAAATGTTAACACTACCTATAGGGCAAAAATGTTTGCGTGAAAAGCCATTAATTTTGCTACAATTCCCATGCATAAAACTGTTGCATAGAAACACACCTGTATTAATTAATCAATAATTGTACATGTACTATTTTACAAGTAACTACCGAAATCCCAAACTCTTCAGGTTATTTTATCTGGTCTCAGCTTGATTGTTTAAAACCTCTCTAAAACCAAGCAAACCAGATTAGTCTGAACAGGTTGGAATACCAGCAAATCAGCTAAAAGTGGTCATTCAACCAATATAGATAAAAAAGAGGCTGTTGCTGTTATTGTTAGATAACATAATTTGTCATCATTGTATCATTTATAGTGATACAATGCTCCAAAAAATGATATTTTACATAACATTTACTGAATTAAAAATAAATAACTTTAATATAAAAATTAATTAATATAAAAAATGTTTTATTGTAAAACACATTTATACTATAGATAGCAACTTTTTGATTCTGTAATATCAATAAATAAATATAAAATTAAAGCCCTGGTGTTGGTGCTGAGTGCCGACACTTTTTGGCCAGTGCTTATCATTGTTTAAAAAAAAAATTTAAATAAAAAAAATAAAATAAAATTTGTCCAACCACTATGTTATTTTTAACAAATCCATCATGCTTTTTCAAAGATTCACTCCACTCATGTGAGATATATTTTCATGTTAATCACACAAAGAGATGCCGGACTGAGACCCACCGACTGCCGATCATGTTTAGAGGAGCGAGACATTTTGCTCTCATCACTGAGTCTGGAGCTCTGCGCACAAATACACAGAGTCGAGTTTACAATCTTCACACTGATTTGTACCACATCACACAAGAGTTAGTCATACAACTGCATCATGAATTAACACCACAGACTCCTGGATGTCATAATAGGTGAACCAACACACTAGTTAATACTCAAACACCATCATCACACGGTTTGCCACTAACCCGATTAGACAATGTGCCGAGATCATCGTCATAGCCATTGCTCTGTGGGATAGACTAGAAGTCATGATTGATATTACATCATCTTGTTACAGAACATACATGTGACGTGCATAAGTACTGCGAACGTACGGTTTTGGAAGAATGTTTCTTCTTTTTCTTGGACTTCTTATGTGAGTGATAGGAGGAGGCCTGGGGAAGCTGGACAGGATGGTGGGAAATGGAAGTAATATTAAAACTGCAGAATTAACTGCACAATACTTCACGGTTGTGAACATGCAGGTGAAGATTCAGACACTTCAGAGATATAACAGAAATGTTAAGGTCATATGGTCATATCTGATCAAATCCAGAAGACAAACCACACCCACTTCATTTGCAGAGGCGGACAAAGTACACAACTCCATTACTTGAGTGAAAGTACAGATACCGCTGGTCAAATATTACTCCATTACAAGTAAAAGTTGTAAAGACAGATTTTTACTTGAGTAAAAGTACAGAAGTACTTACTTTTAAAAGTACTTAAGAACCAAAAGTAAATTTCCTTTTTTATGTCAATGCACTGTTTTATTATTGTACGTACTAGTACTTGCAATACCTTTGAAGCAACTTACAATACATTACACCTACTGAATACACTGACTAGCTTGTAGTATCTTTGGAATAAAGAGCTTTTAAAATGTTAAAAACCTATGGGGAAAAAACTAAACCAAAAAAATATTATTTAACAGCCCCACAAAAGCAGGATGGTAGTGATCTCACACAGCTCTGGACACATCTATGTGTAGCCATTCATCCACATTTGAACAGAGTGGACAGTGAAATTGCTGTAAATACAGACCGATAAGGAAGAAGAAAAAAAAAATCAAACCTGCGTTAAAACCCAGCAACACAACTGTAGCTGTATAACTTTACAACAGCAGCACTGCTTTAACAAAAAGTCAAAACAGCAAGACCTATTTGACATCAAAATAAAAAAATAAAAAATGCTGTCTAATCGCTCTCGTGGTACTTTGATGTCACACACAGAACAGTCTATGCAGTGCTGCTTCAAGTCCAACACCTTTTGTGCTTTATTAGGAGATGCACAACAGTTCTTCTGTGGCTTTATAGGTAATATTTTCACTTACACAATTTAGCAAAATCAGACAATATTGTGTCTAATATAAACCACAATATTAACTGCTTATTACTGAATTGTTGTAAATAAATATCACATTTGGAACTGGTCAGTGCTTAAAAAATGCTGGGAAATCATTTCATGTAGCCCCAAGAGTGATTACTGATAAACTGTCTGAAAAAATTACAGTTTTTAGATTAGAAAAAAAAATAAAATCACCCACTGACTTTCAAAGCTGCTAACGACTTTCTACTTCGAGGACATTGATAGAAATGTAGTGGAGTGAAAAGTACAATATTTGTCTTTCAAATGTAGTGAAGTTAAAGTCATAAGTTCCCAGAAAAAATTATACTCAAGTAAAGTACCGATACTCAAAAAGTGTACTTAAGTACAATACTCAAGTAAATGTACTTAGTTACTGTCCGCCTCTGTTCATTTGTAATGTTGATGAAACACTTCAAAACATCACAAATGTAGCATCAGGTATTAGCTATACTTAGTTGAAACACACCACAGTGCAAAAACAAAACCGTCTTGTGAACTCAATTATGTGCTCATTCACAGGAACCTGAAAGTAATGATATAACATCCATGCCCGAAGAAACATTTCCCACCCTGAGATTCTTACCACGCCGTAAGCACCCGCCTCATCCAAATCCAACTGCCCAGACAAACAAAACCACCATCAGCATGAAGAACATTTTGGACTGTTTTATAACCTTAGACAACACACAGCGAGCACACTCATATAAACCAACAACAAACACTCTGACCGACAGCACAGAAGGTTTATACCAGAGGTGTCGAACTCAGTTCCTGGAGGGCCGCAACCCTGCAGAGTTTAGTTCCAACCCTGCTCCAATGTATTTTTATACAAAAAATACAATGTATAAACCATGTATTTTTCCAAATAAGCCTGAAGGACGTGATTAGCTGGATCAGGTGTGTTTAATAAGGGTCGGACCTAAACTCTGCAGGGCTGTGGCCCTCCAGGAATTGAGTTTGACCCCCCTGGTTAATACAGTTTATAAGGAACTATAGTTACACTGATACTGACCCGTATGTTGCTCCTGCTCCCCACTGACATCCGTTCTTCATCATCTGACACCTTGATGGACAAAAAAAGGTATAATTAGATTGAGTACACAGTTAGCAACAGTTTAAAGACATAAAACTCACCACTGTGTACATAAACAGCAAATCAGTATGTACAGTGAGCCCCAAAATAAGTCTGACTTAAAGTAATTGCATTTGGAATAAAATCCAAGTGTATTTTTTTCTTATGAAGGACAAACTTGTTGTGAAATGTTTTGCATGAGAAGTGTTTGTGGAAGTGGTTTAGGAGGACAGACAGTTAAAAGACAAAGGTACAAACCGAAGCATGTCTCCGTGAGACACGTGTATATTGCTCACTGTCCTCCTGAGGAGAGGAGAGGAGAGGAGAGGAGAGGAGAGGAGAGGAGAGAATAAGCAAGATGGCAAAAGTGGCACACAAGACTCAGCAAGAAAGGCTGAGCAGTTTATGCAAAGACAGCATGCAAATCAGTAATAATTGAAGACAAAAAAAAGTGAAAAGATGTAATACATTCACATTTACGTTCTTGGGGTCAGTAAGATTTTATTTTTACTTTTATTAAGGAAGGAATGCTTTAAATTTATAAAAGTGACAGTAAAGACATTTATAATTTTACAAAAGATTTATTTTATTAAATCTATACTGTTCTTTTGAACTTTGTTCATCAAAAAATATAGTTTTCAACATTGATAATAATAATAAGAAGAAATGTTTCTTGAGCACTAAATCAGCATATTAGAATGTTTACTAAAAGATAATGTAACACTGAAAACTGGCTGCTATCACAAAGCTACATTTTAAAATAATAATAAAAATGACCAATTTTAATATTCCACAATATTTCATTACAACGGTTTTGATTGTATTTTTATCAAATAAATGCAGCCTTGGTAAGCATAAGACTTCTTTCAAAATCATTTAAAAAATCTTATTGACACCAAACTTTTGAATGTTAGTGTACATTAAAATATCTACAATGCCAGGAAACATACATAAACAAAGTTTTATTTTATTTGTTGAAAAGTTGTATTGAAGAGGTAAAAGAGGTATTGACCTAGTGTTGAGACATGCAACCCTGATATCCAACATCAAACATACTAATTATTAACAAATAGAACATGAACACATCCTGTATTGCAATCCCTATCATGTAAAAGTCACATGCTGATGAAACTACAGGCTTAGAAAATCTCAAAACAGTGAATGTACCATCCACTGCTCAATGTCCCCCCATTTGTTGTCCAAGTTATCCAGTCCATAGTATTTCTAAAAAAGAGAAATGCAGCAGAAACGAGGAGAGAAAAATAAGGGAAGTTCATGTAACAAGAATGCAACAGAAGGAAAGGAATTAAAGTACAGTATTTAAAAAAAATTGGTACACAAGTTGTCACTGGGGTGGTAGGTACCCTTTCAAAAGGTACTAATATGTACCCTTTAAGGCACAAATATGCACCTTGTAGTGGTAAATACAGTACAAAGACGTACCATTTGAAATGGCACCACCCCAGTGACAGTCTTTGTACCTTTTTCCTGACTGTGTAGAGTAGAACTACAGCATCAGATGTCCTACCTTCTGCACCTGATAAATCTACATCACAGGAGGCCAGCAAAACAGGATCAGATGAGCAAAGGAAAGAAAGCCACCAGATGGGGAAAGCAAAGGGAAAAAGAGAGGGCATTGATTATTTGACATGAAAGAGAGCTAACCGAGTGGAAGAGTGTGTGCTCAAAGATAATGGAGTGAAAAGGGAAAGCTGTTTTAGCAATTTGAAAGAAGTTTTAGCAATCCGTCAGCTCAGTGTCATGTTACCTGGCCTTACAGATAAACTTACAGCTAGAGAAAACAACGGCAGTTCACACACTTGACTCAAAGAACACATAAAGGTCAAGTGGATCAACAAGCAGCAAAATTCAATGCCAACACTGAACTGTCAATCAGGAATTTTAAAAATCACAATGAGAGTTAAAAAAGCATCTGAATTATGTCATGCAACTGTTCAGATATCTGAGAACATACTCAAGAGTCACAGAGGGTTGTGTGATCTGGTCTATGGGGTAACGGGATTCTTTCCACTGATGTTTAAAGGGGTCATATGATGCGATTTCCTTTCTCTTTGGAGTGTTACAAGCTCTTGGTGCATAAAGAAGATCTGTAAAGTTGCAAAGACTAAAGTCTCAAATCCAAAGAGATATTCTTTATAAAAGTTAAGAGTCAGCCACGCCTACCTAAAACGGCTCGTTCTAACACGCCCCCACATGTCTATACGTCACGATGTGGGAAGATTTGCATAATGCCGCCCAAATGTTCACACAAAGAAAGAAGGCGTAACTTTTATTCTCGCTGTAGTATTACTGTTGCCGCGGCCGCCATGTCGTGAAGGCGCTGTGTGTTTCATTGTGAAAGCAAAACTACTTTGTTTGGCCTTCCAAAAGAGGACGATATCCGCTTCGTCATGCCTAGAGCTGATCCGTGCTGGTCGCTGAGGAAATACATCAACTTCGCGCTGTGGATCACCGGATCGGCTTTCACCGTGGACGAAGCGGAGTCCAGCCCGGGTGTCGTCACATGTGGTTGCCGCAAGCACGCCGGCCACGTCGTTCTCAAGCCCGCCGGCCATTCCTCACTCTAGCCCACCGTGTGTGATGCTGTGTGTTACGTTGTGAAAGCGAAACTACTTTGTTTGGCCTTCCAAAAGAGGACACAACTAGAAATCAGTAGTTAAGTTGTATTTACAACACTTTTCCAGAACAGTTTAACCCAAATATTCAGATGTGTGCAGCAAATGTTATTGAGGACTGTTTCCTGATCCTGGGAGGGTAGACTACAATGCTGGCTGTTCTGCCTCACAGACTGCAAGAATGTTTTCATATTTAAAGAACTTGCCACTGACGATTCAAACGCGAGTTTTGGGCAGTGTAGAGTAGCGCTTGTTGTTTGTCATTTCTCCGATCACAAATGCAGGTTTTATGTTTACGCGGCGCGATGCAACGTGTAAAAAGACAGCATAAGTCATTATAATCAGTACTTATGTCCCCACTGGATGCAACAAACGCCTCGTTAATATTTTGTCTTGTCGCTCCAGCCGGATAGGGCATCACAGTATGGTAGGGGCGTAACATTTCTGTCACCCGCTTGAGGTATTCGGCCAATCACAACGCACTGGATAGCTGGACAATCAGAGCACACCTCGCTGTTCAGACCGATGAGCTTTGTAAAAAATCTATGCGTTTCAGAAAGGCGGGGGATAGAGGAGAAACAATAATGTACAGTATGTGGAAAATAATGTTTGTTGAACTTTAAACCGCATAAACACATTTCATTACACCAAATAATGTTCTTTTTAGCAACATCATATGACCCCTTTAAGGTTTCATTTGGTCCACTAATGATCAAACCAATGAACAGCACTGGACTAGTATAGCAGTGTTATGTTTACACTAGTACACTTTTGTACGTGTTCTTGTCCATTACTTTTTCACAAGTAACAATAACATCAACAGATAAGCTGAAGATTCTTAAAATATCCAACTACTATGGTTTGGTCCCCACAGTATTTTTGACACTTACAAATGTACTAACCTCCTGCTAATGACATAACTAAACCCTGTTAGTAGATAAAACCTACACAAAAGCAGTTTTCTAGCCAGAAAAAAGACATCTCTTTAACAGTTGGTTGTATATTTTGATAATTTAATCAAGAATTTAATCTACTTATTATATAGTCTAAACTATACAGTGCAATAGTGAACACTTTCACCCTTACTTACTGAAAACCTACAGAATCTCACCTAACTGGTTTCCCCATGTGTATTTGCTCCAGTTTTGATGAGTGTTTATTCATCCAGTCCTGTACAAAATGTCTTCCTTTGAATTAGCCAAAAAACTAAGAAATTGTTAGGGTTTTAGAAGAAAAGTTACCATGTTCTTCAAAAGGCACAAAATAAAACTTTTTTCTAATAAATCGAAACTGCAAACTGCATCTGGCACAAACCCAATAAACACCCTTGATAGAACCTACACTCAAGCTTTTGACTAGCACAAAACAGGTTCAGAACTCTTCATTAAGTTGATAGGTCATAGTCAACAAATAAACCCAGAATAAAATACACTTGATCAGATCACCCGATACTAGTTAAACTAGTACAGAAAATCAAATGCATCAATCAATCTGTTACTTAATTATTAACACAGTAGTAACAGTCAGTAATTTCGTATCTTTCCATGCTCATCTAGTAAACTTAATCTCACCTTCCTTAGCAGAGGGGTCTGGGGTCTCCCATTGATCACTTCCCTAGCCCCTCTTCACACTAATCGCTTGCAGGCCGTCCTGATAGTCAGGACTGAGGGAGACAGAGACCTTCTATGATTCCAAATACGCACTCTGCCATAAAATCCAAACCTCCACAAAGTCTGGATTAAACTCTTCCAGTTCTATTTTATGTCACAGCATCTTCAATCTTGAGTCATTGTGTTTGCAGTCAGCATAATGATCACAGCTGAGAACTGAGTGGAAACTGAATCTGTTAACCCGCTGCAGGAACGGCTGAAAGCTCATAATCTACTTTTAAAGACTTGGCTGGAGATTTAAAGCCACAAAACACACACCCTTAACATTCACACACACACACACACCTCCTGATCAGACCAGGCTTAACTCTGAATTCTAGCTAATCTCTCAAGTGTGACCTGGGTATGCTTAAACGCTGTGTTTATCTTCATTACATAAGTTTGTTGCGTCTGAGCCCAGGTATCACAGTGTGGGTTTCTGGTTGTCCATTTACCTTCGAAGGACCCTGAGCAACTTCATTCATATGCACTTAATCAAATGTCCTTAGATATCTTAAGGAATCTACAACTTGTTTAAATTCATGCATCTGAACCCATGCCATTCATGTTCTATTTACTGTGTGCAGTCTGTCGTAGCAAACCAGCATCAGCAGTCACAGTGCGTTAACAATAATTACCCAGAATTAACCATACGCATATCCATGAGTTGGAACCAAATGTTGCCATTTCTTTAAATCCAGCTTTCTTTACTATGGGGAACGTTTAGGCAACAAACTGATATAGTACCAAAAGCCTGACAAAACAAATGAATAACTCAACATCTATAAAGTGAAAGTAAAGACTTACAGTAACTGTAATTTAACAGGGAGTTGAGAATGACCTGTAATCTTGGGCAAGAATTAGGGGTAAAAGTACAAAACCTGCAGTAAAGCTGCAGGGTACTACAACAAAATGAGCATAAAGTGCAGGTCTTTTTTCATGAGTGTTATTTAAGCTATTTTAACAAATTCCTCAGACAACCTAATCAAATTAAATCAATTGCATGTTAGGCTTGCCACGATAGACGGTGCTGACGGTGATACCGGTGTTAAGCCGCAACACCGGTTACGTCACTTGCCCACCGCGTCACCGACCCCCACCATCGTTTAGATTTTTTATAGAAATAAAAATCTTTTAGTACAGTAAAAGAACAGACACTACAATTAAAAACTGAACGCAGCTGCTCAATGTAGCGTGCCGAACGACAGATCGCAGTTGCATCACAGATCAGATTTCATTTCTCCAGTGAGGAGAGTGAGTTGAGCTGACTGACAAGAAGAGTGAGGTGAGGTGAGACAGACAAGACAAGACGATCGCGGATGATTTAGTTTCGAAACGAAATGCAAAAGCGCCTGCTTGGCAATATTTTGGATTTTGAAAAGCCCGTTGACTCTTGCCGTTTATCTGAGGTGATTTTGGAAGTTCTTTTAAACATTCGTTTCTTACTTAATTGGTTCCACATTGTTTGCTGATTTTTACTTTATTTAAACTTTGTGTCATTTATTTATTTTATTTGACATCAAGGTGTAGGCCTATGCCGTGCCTCCAAGCTTTCTTACTCGTTTTGCTAATAAACGTTCTACGTTTACTTAGCCTATTTCCAGTTTTGTATACCTATTTAAACTTTATGTAAGTTATTTGTTATTTTATATTAGGCATAGCCTTCCCTATAGCATGGTGTATTTGTATTTGTTTTGTTAATGAAAGTTCTATGTTTTATATATACGCTAAAGTGAGTTTGACGTTGTATTTTGTTGTTGCATTCAAGCAATTGACGCCTAACTGCCGCTAAAAAGTGAAAGTAAAATGCGCACGGCGCTTTTAAGCTATTTAAAAGCGACGGAAAGTGAGGAAAAGAGGGAAAATTCAAACGAACAATTGCTTTACACCGAATTGCCGCTATTTGAAAGTGAAAGTAAAATGCGCACACCGCTTTTACAAGCTATTTAAAAGGGAAGGAAAGCTAGGAAAAGAGGGAACGCCCCGCCTCCACGGTGATACCGGTATTACCGGTGTTGTCACAAGTTGATTAACCGGTGGGAAAATTTCCTCACCGTCACAACCCTATTGAATGTTACTGTACACTTACAAAGTGGGGCATGAGTTAATACTATTTTCATAGATAAACCTTTTTTTCTTTATTTCTTCAGTGTTGTGATGCATTTACTACACGACACAAAACATGATAATTTGAAAAATGTCTCAGAGTTTTGTTTTTCATTTGTCCACGCACTTAAAGTAAATGGGGTCTTAAAAAAATTGGACCCCACTGACTTCCATTGTATTGGCAGTTGAAACAATTTTTTAAAATATCTTAGGTGTTCTGAAAAATACAAAGTCATACAGATTTAGACATGAGGATGAGTAAAAGACAGAACGTTATTTTTTGGGTTACCTCTTTAAGCTGTATTTAACATTGAATACTTTTAAGTTTGTTTCTTTGTAAAGACCCCAAAGTGCTCATGTAACCTGTAATATTTCTGAGCATTAGCTGAGCAAATGCTTAAGTTCAAATGGGCTCTTAGAAGGTCTTGACCCAGGGGGGTGATTAACTGACCCTGATCCCCGTTACCCAGCCAAAACATGTCCTTCAAAGCGCAGAGCCCACAATCATGATGAAGATTAAACAAATTGAACATAATCGGCTGACAGTGTTGTGCAGGAGCAAGTCAACAAGAAGACCATAAGAAAGATTCGGTTTTGAGAATAAAGGCCTTTTCCGCTGGCAGTTCAATAGGAAAACACCTTGAAAATATTTTGAGTGAACAAAGGCCAAGACTGGATAAATATTATCAGCGACAACGTTTTCAAAAACGGCAATGCAATTTTAAAGGCCTACAAGCTCAACACACTCTTGAACTGTATTGGAAGGTTCTCCTCCTGTGTTTCAACACATTGCGTAATGCAGGTTGTTTACTTTGTGTGGTGCTTTTAGTTTCTTAACATATGACTCTTGTTAGTAGGTGCTGTGATTATGACACCAGTGAAAGGGGACATATTCACTATACGCACAGAATAGTTAAGCAGGTAAGTGCATGGGGATGGGACTTTTCCGGAAGTTAAACCTCCTCAAATCTCAATCTTACAGGATAGGTCACATGTTACTGGTGGGCATGTCAAAACATCTATGTACTGAAACAACACTGTCATGCTAGAAGGTTTTCTGAGCCCCCTAATTAATAAATAAATATATAAAGAATAAATAAATGCAATTTCTATAAAGACGTATATTATAGCTTATAGAATATTATATGAGACTTGAAAAGCAATATGTAAAAGTTGATACAAAATCAAGACCAACGTCACATTTAGCAACGCTAAGGCCTAAATTTCAGCCTAAGTTTCAGCCTTCAGTGATTGTATTTCTTCACCTCTTTCTGTTGTCTCTCCAGTTCTCTCATTCTGATCTCACGAGCTTCTGCACGGGCCGCCCTCTTAGATGCCAAACGGGCTTCAGCCTGCAGGGGGCGGATGGGGAAACAGAGAAAGAGAGAGAGGTAAAGTCATTAAACCATAACCAAGAGAGCATGAGCACTGTAGTAAATGCAAAAAATAGAGGAAGTTAAATCAACACACAAAAAACTACTTATTAAATTTCTTGTAATGTAAATTTAGCAGGAGGTTCACAGGATATATACATTTCCTATATTACATGATTACAGGAACATGTTTATGTATCTCCTCCCTGTCATTAAGTTGTATGTACTGTAACTGTATACTCCTCAGACTGCACATGCTATGAATGTGTTTGTTTACATGAGTATGTATGTGTGTATTTGTGACTTTAGCTCATCACACTTTGAAAGTCCTTTTAACCCTTAAATGCATAAATGTTTCACCAATCATTATTACATATTCGGGTCTTCAGCGACCCGGACCTATATATCCAGCACGGATGGACCTCTAACTGCTGCAATAGCAAAAAAAATTCTTGATATTTTAAGAATAATTACAGAAGAATAAAATAAAGCATATTTAGTTTCCTTTTGAAACTTAAAAGTGTTCAATTTGAGCAGATGATTTTACCATCGCTGTCATCGTCAGAGCGCACTTCCACAGTACATTCTGCATCTGCCTCACATTCACGATCTCAACCATATTCTCAAAACTATCGTTTTCAATTACTTCATATTCAATATTTTGATCACTGGCAGCTTATTCACCACATCCAGCATCAAATGGCAGTGACATTTATATTTCATTGCGTAAAGTAATTGCTCTGCAGTAAAGCCATTCAAACCAGTTAAATTTTTGCTGATGATATTCGTTTGTTTTATGCCTGCATTAATTACGAGTGAAACATCACATCATCATTGTGTATCAAACAGTGCTACCTTGAGGAAAATAGATGCATTGCACAAACTGAGTCATCAGATATGTAAATATAGTCACGCAGGAAAAAAATACTTACACATTTACATACCTCGGGTCTCTAGCGACCCTAAACACTTTTTTACAAAAAAATAATCTGAAAACAAGCATTCTTTTATATTTTACAATTTTTTTCTTGTTATATTGTTTATAATGAATAAATTGAGGAATACTAAGAAACTGATGTCTAAGTTACAAAAATTAAGGAGGGAGAGGGTAGAGAATGATGTCCCGGGTCGCTAAAGACCCGAGGTATGCATTTAAGGGTTAAGGAAGAGACTCCTTGTAAGGCATTTGAGAGAGAACACACTTCCTTCCTGCAGATGACGCCACAAAATGTTTAACAACCCAAAAAAAGAGAAAACCTCAACTCCAGTATTTCATCATAGACACTACACACTACCCTCCCACAGTGATGTCTGCAACTGAAATCTGCCCATTTCCCCCTCAATCCTGAACTAACAAGTAATCTTTACACCAGACGCATGACTGTAACACTCACATATTCCTGAAAACACAGCAAAGTATTGATATTTATGTTTTAACAGGAATTTTTTTTTTTAATGTTTAAAACAGTGGAACTACTACTCCAAGGGGCATGCAAGATTTTAAATGAATTCCTGTGTTAACTGCTGGAGAAATCCATAATGACGTGTTCCTGAGTAAATGTCAGATCATATCTTAATGTCTCAGACTGAGGCCTTCCGTCCTGAACACAGTCACACAACTTTCCAAGGAAGCAGCGGTTTCTCACCACAAAGGTCTTGCGTCCCTTTGCCAACAACGATGTTCAAGAAATATTTTGCCAAAATAAATATTTCCACAGCTTCAACCACTTCTTGTGAAAGAAAGTGATGGCCTAATTTTCTTGTAAATTTTGTAGTGACGGACAAGCTTCTATATTCTTTCCAGTTCAATTTAATATACCCTTGCTAAATAAAAGTATTAATTTCATTCATTCAAAAATAAATAAATAAATATCCCCAAACTTTTGAAAGGCGGTGTAGTGGAAGTAATTGAAACAATCACACTTGCAAAGACATTTCCCATGTTGGCAAATCACAGCACTATTCAAATAATCAAATCAAAGCAGCAACACAGGACAAGAGAGGACAAATAAATTAGGAATATTTAACCTTTCTCATACTTAATGAATGGTGCTGTGCAGTTGACATTCAACATCAGAATTAAACATCCAAATCTGAATTCAAGAAATACCTTTATATTGAATATCACTATAGTTGTAAACAGCAAATGTGTGACCATGTAATGTTAGTACTGTTGTAATGAAGGCAGATAATTGTGTAGAAGAACTGCCAGGGCGAAGTTACTACAGCCAACCCTGGCAATTAAGCAGCTGTCCAAACAGGTTTCTAACAGGTTCTCACTAATGTCAACATATGATTTCCACAAACACAGCAATCCACCTATGCATACATGCTTCTTTAAAATAACAGTTACCACCAAACAGGGCTTTGACTGTGCTGAAAATGTTGAATAAGATTTAATTTGGAAAAAAAACCTAACCATCAAGGGTAATAGAGTATTCAGAAAACTTTCAGGAATAAATGCACTTTGTATGACTGCGTGAATAACAGGGTAACCAAAACTATGCCTTTTTTGACCATAGCAGGAAATCAGAGGGCTGAGTCATTCACAATTGAGCCTGGATCACACCCTTCCTGCACTTTAGCAGAACAAACCACTGATCGTATGAACGCCCATCACTGCTTATTTCTGATGCGGAGGGCATGTACATGTGCACACAATATGGTTTACATGAACAAGATAATCATTCATATTACTGAACCAAATCTTTTGTAGTACATGTCAGTCAGTGCTTTACAATGTTTACAATATACCCAAGAAAACAGGGGTTTTGACAAGAAAATAAATACATAAAATGTGCATAGGTACCTAAAAGAAGCAGGTTAGCAATCTTAAAGAAAACATGCAATATTTATCCCCTCTGAACTAAAACAAGCAGCTCTTTTATCATAACTCATATTCACATTAAGGCCTACCTTCTTGCAGTTATCAAAGTACACCATGATATCAGTCACGGTGAGCATATGATAGCCTGGGTCATCTGCATTTTCCCCCATCATGACCATTTACACACTCCTATCGCAGAAGAGGAAAACACACTGGCCTATTTTTCACACACCTCTCTCCTCTCACTCTCTCCTCAACAGCTATTTTTAATGACCCAAATGGAGCAGGTTCTATCAATAAACCCAAAATGCTCTAATTTAATGAAAGTTCTGTGACGTGGATGTTCTCAACGGGAATGAAGAGCTAGTTCCACTGCTGTCTGGTAATGAACCTTTTTTAAAAAAACAGAAATACATAGTTTAATTGCTCTAATTGACCACAGAGTACATTCCTTCACAACGTTATTGTCAACAGTTACCAAATTGAGACTTAAATAAAGGTGCAATTCAAAGGTGTAATCTGTTAAGTAGTAGATACGGCCCTATCTTGGATGCACACAGTCTGCTGTGTCACAAATGATGCACTAGACTATGCACTTCTAAAATGCACTCTTCCGTCTAAAGGGGGTCGCACACAGAACAAGAAGCGCAGCGCCGCGCCAAGTCTTTAAAATTCGAACACATTGTTTTCTATGAGAGTACGCACACTGTCAGCGCCATTCGGCGTCTCTCTGCGGCGCCCAGCTACGACTCAGGACGCTGTTCAAATTACTGCCGCGCCACAGAGCGCCATCTGCATAGTTTTATATGAAATAACATCATACTTGTCTCAAATCGTTGTTAATACATTATACCAAGATACCACTTCTTCAAAATACTACATACATTAGTTTTACAGCTTGAATAAAATGTAAACATATAGAATTAAATATATAAAAAACATAGTCCTTTTAATCTTTTATTTTTCTCTTGAGACATTTTTACATACGCAAAATATTACAGTATTGGCCTATGTAACATAGTTGCCTAGACAACAGATACAACAAAACAATAACAGACTTGTCATAACACAGATTCTTTTCACTGATTAACGTTCAAAACTCAGCTATTATCAATTAAAATCATATATTTAAAATAATAATAAATGAAGTTAAAACCCAGCTCAGAACTTGATTAGAAATTGAACTTGCGCGTATAAAATGTGCGCGTCCGGTGTGCGATACCTTGAGTTGTCCTAGACGGGGCGCTGCGCTTCTTGTCCGGTGTGCGACCCCCTTAAGAGTGCCATCTAGCATTGCAATCTAATAACCCCTCCCTCTCATAGTGTGTGAACATTATTCACACTAGTATTGACACTAAAACATGGCATAGAATAGTGCATAAATACACAAATTGGGAAGCACCTATATTCTCATAGATGCAGTATCTGAAAAAGTTGGCAGTTGGCATTTGCAATCAGCCATGGTTAATGTATGAAACTCGGATGAAGTGTTGCTAACATGTCTGAAGCATAAACAGAGAAATGACTGTTTCTACTGACATTTTTTTCCAAATCACAAATATGAGCATCTCCACTTCATTTAGATTTAGTTTGAAAACATGGCTTAGAAAAAGAGATTTGTTATTGCAACACTTTAGGAGCTGTTCACACAGAACGCATTCACTTATTCCACCGTGCTACTTTTCAATTGTTTTTGAATGTAAACATGCTAGATTGACTGTTGCACTTGCGCCTCGTGTCTTTTGCAGCGTCTCACACATTACTTTTCATTTTTTTAAAACTGCACCTGGAGGCCTTGCAAGGTCCAAGCAAAAACATGTTCTGTGTAAATGGCCCCTTAGAGTTTAACCAACAGAATTGATGAATTAGTGTGTTTTTGGATTTTTTTTCAGATAGATGATTGTGGACAGGTTTACTAAAATACCTTGTTTGGTGCCTTTTAAGGCAGACATGCAGGACAAGCCTGTCATTCAGGAGTCCCTGGGAGTTTGATGAATGCCAGGACAATTTGAGCCCAGAGTTCTTATCTGTTGACATAAATACCACAGAAGGAGATGCCAAGCTGACCAAATCTCTCTCTCCCACGGCCTCTTGTACCAGCATGCCAGGCTGAACGGGTACACGCTAATCATCTGGATTGCTAACAGACTAG